AGATAGAGCTCTGAGTAACCTGCTCTAGTGGAAGATGTCCCTGCTCATGGCAGGGGGTCTGGAACCAGATGATCTTTAAGGTTCCTTCCAACCCAAACCATTCTATGATTCTGTGATTTCCTCCTAGTGAGAACAAGACCTGCCTGACGGATGAATGCAGAGACTCAGAAATGGGGAATTTGTAACCTGCACGGCAAGTTTCGTATGGAATGAGCTGAACTTAAGGTAGGTCTGACTGATTGCTGGGGTGATCTGCACAGTCCACCTTTTCAGTGGAAACTCCATCAGGTGTCAGAAAACTCTGCTGCCAGTATGGTCAAGCAAAGAAACAGGTTGGAATGGTGAGTGGACACTCCCCTCCCGCCCCATTTTTGCGTGCAGATATCCACAGGCCAGGCTAATCCACTCCCTCAGCACCTGAGCCTGAGACAGACAGGTATCAGTGTGCTGACAAAAACAGAACTCGCTTTGTTCCTGGCATGACTTTAGCAGTGGGCTGGCATAACTTTTGCATAGCCAGTTCCTTGATGTGCCGATAAAGGCAGCAGCGTATTAAATATCGAGCCCTCCTCAAGAAAACTCTGTTGAAACTAGGAAGGTTTTGCCCAAAATCATGCTGCAAAATTGCAGCTTCCTAAACCGCGCCAACCTGCGGCACGTGCAGTCTGAGAGCCAGCTGCTCGCGAGCTCTCACAGACAGGCTTTGCTGACGTGCAAAACCTTCACTCTTCATGTATTTCATCTCCATTTCTCATCCTTTTCTGCAAACGCTAAAGAAATGACATGATCCGAGGCTGCAAAACTACACTGCCAGTGCATTACAATTCATGGGCACGATGCCCGGGCTCCCTCCTTTGCACTCCAAATATCTCGCTTAACTCTTCTCTTGTTTCTGCTGCCGAATGGCCTGTAGAAAGATATCCTTCACTTGCTCCATTGTGTCTTGATACAGTTTAAAGTCTTCCTCTTTCGTTCTCACAGTAGTCTCCAAAGCGGTCTTCAGAGCTTTGTTCTCATCCAGCTGGATCACGAGCCTGGGAGGAAACAAAAGGAGACTTTCACGTGAGCTGTGGAGCTTCAAAGCAAATCAGAACAGCGCTTCAGCTCTGGGGAAGAAAACACGGAAACACGTGCTCTCTGGTAACTTTATGACAGGCGTTGAGAAAGAGCAGACTCAACACTCCTTCCTTCTCTCTTTCAGGTAGGAAAAAAGTATCAGATGACCAAGATACTTTTCAGATCTGTTTTGTTAAAGATTATAATTTTATTTTCGCTAACAAGCTTGTAATCAATGCACGAGGAAAGAAAAAGAAAAATAAGGTGTCTTCCTTGCACGTGTTTTGTGTTGCTTAACATCTGCATTAGCGTAACATTCCTGAGTATCTGTACAATTATTAGAAAATTCGTGTAAGAATGACACAGACCAGCTCAAACCAGCGGATCTGTGATTTCTACCGAGTCTGCTAGGTTTCATCTTCTGATGAGCGGGTGCAGGTAGTATCCCTGTCGAGAGGACAGCAATGAATTTGAGCTACGGCGAGTAAGACAGCGCGGAGGAAGGGGAGCCATACCTTGTGCTCAGCTCCTCTATCTGCGATTCCAGAGGCAGCTTGGACAGCTGGGCTGCAGAGAGCTCCTTCCTATCTCTGGCATTAGAGGCGAGTCTGGAGTGACTCGCAGACCGGCCTGTAGATTTAATCACAAGATGGAGTTTTAGTAAAACAAGCAACCTTTTTCTCTTGGTAGCACACAGAGTAAATCTCAGGAAACCTTGAATAAATAATGAGGAATCTGTTCTGTGTACATCCATGAAGATACTGTAAATACATAGCACAGGCTTTAATCTCCTTTCAGCAAAATGAAAACATGATGAGTTTGCATTGCAGGGCTAAATGCAGAAATATGCATGCCTACCTATTTAGGGAAGAAAAAAATTCATCCAAAATATTCAAGTGGTCAAAACAATAGGTGATAGAAACAGCCAAAAAGGATTATTTTGATGTTTATCTTGTCATTGTCACTTAAGATTATGATGACTGTTGTTTCCTGAATGCCTGTGATAAAGTTTGCGTGTGGCACCCACTGAAACAGCTTTTGTAAAGCACTTTGATCCTCAGCGTAAACACAACATAGGTTAAACGCAGTAAAGCACTTCAACGCGTACTTCAAACTAAGGTTCTAAATCGGGAATGCTGTCCTAAATAAAGGCCCACCCAAAACATGCAGCACTGCTCCTGTCATTTCAAAGGGACACAAAAACTTTTTTCAGGGTTATAGAGAAAATAAAATTGAAATTTAATGCTGGGATTGGAAAGCAACAAGCTGTGAGTGACCAGTGAACCCCTACAGTGGAAGAAGGCTCGGAGAAGACAGAATTGAAATGTAATGCTGGGACTGGAGAAGCAAAAAATTGTGAGCGACCAGTGAACGCCTACAGTGGAAGAAGGCTCGGAGAAGACAACGTAGGCAGTGACCACCGCTATCATAGAGGATGCTGAACTTAGCCCAACACCAAGAGGACTGGAGGGCAGTCTTCACTGTAGAGAAACAGCTGAATCAGTTGAGTAAATGTAAATGGCCTTCTCTAAAACAATCAGTTGAAGGTCCTACCTGCCTTGAGCCAGCCAGACCAACATGAGGGAAGTGTGTATGTGGTGCAGCCCAACACAGAGCATGAAAATCAAACAACCGGCAAAATGAATGTTGAAGAAAACAGGTCTGACCTGGCTTCACCCCGTGCATTCCTTTCCAGCAACTGGGGACAGCCAGCACCGTGACAGTGAACATCTAGGTTGGTAATGGGAATCATATTTGTGTCATGATTCAGCTGTACATGGCAATTGCTATATATGAACATCTAGGCTGGTAATGGGAATCATATTTGTGTCGTGATTCAGCTGTACATGGCAATTGCTATATTGTGCTTGTGTTCTGATTTCACTACATCGCTGTATCACTTTTCCACATTAAAATCCCACATAACATCAAATGTCTTCAAATAAGTGAATTTGATATTAAAACTCTAAATCCTCCTCAAGTGGAATATCTAAAAGAACCTGGCCAGAGAGTATTGGACGCTGACCAAAAACATACGAGAGGAAAAGGCTACGTTGTATAACCAAGAAATGCTTTTGATCTTGACGCTGTGTTTTACAGGACTGAGGAAAACCTGCTGTAACTTACCTGTTCTCCTCTGGGATTTTTCTTCGGTAATTAGAAATTTGGATAAGACAGAAGAAAACCCCGAAAAGCATGAATAATTTTAACACAACTGGGTTGTTTCTAGCTACTCAGCATCATTATCTACTTCCCTTGAACTGAGGAGACTCGAAGTATTAGATTAGTAATTAGATCAGCTCTCTCCAATTTTGCACTTTCAGAAAGAAAAGAAAATTTGATGTTAATTAGCAGGTTCTCTAGTCTCTATGTTATATTCAAGCTTTTCATTCCTTCTTACTTCCTCAACTATCTGGCATGAAAGCATTTAGATAACCCACATGCTCTGCTGAAGAGCTGCGTTACAGACTTGTAGACTCGTTTCTTGTACAAACTCCAGAGAGTTTTGGCACATCACAAGGGGCTGAGCTCTCTTCAAAGAAGGGTGGTGAAATAGATTGTTACCTACTCATCTGACAGACTTTGAGGGGATTTCTTCTTATTAGTCTTATTGCCAATCCTCTTCTACGTTTGCTTTTAGTCCTTAATCAGACAAGACTAATGAACTGAATATTTAGTAGGAAGGAAGCGGTCACGCTGGTCAGCACAGCCTGCTTCCTCTGGCTGTGAAACGCCAGTCTCCCAGAGGTGAGGCACCCAACCGTTACTGCAGCACGACGACTCCACCAAAATGGCTCAGGACCTGGAGCATTTATCACTGCATCTCTTTGAGGTTGCAAGGGAAATCTAAGTGCAGCAGATGTATGATAACAAAACAACACATCAACGCTTTACGCTACCAGGTTGGAGAAAAGTCCAAGCACTCAAAAATTCAGTTAAATTATCCTCTAGAAGACAGCACCAAAATGTTCCCAAACTATTTAAGGCATGAAGTCAGTAAAAAGAGCACCATTGAGAGCTGTATTCCCACAACGCTCAGCTGGCTACTCCCTGTCCCTACGTACACCCTGATTGCTTTCTCTGGGCACCTGCAGAACCGTATGAGGGCTCCAAGGTCTCTCACCTCTAAACCCTCCTGGGAATCACAAATGGCATCCCACGATACCACTTCTGGGAGGCCCAGCACTGCTCTCCTACCAAGATGGATGTCCTATATCTTAAAGGTCAAAAGCTGCAGCACTGTTTCTCAGCACTAGGTTTCTGTTAGAATCTAAGTTTTTCTGCAGTACTTTCTCTGCTGTCAGGCTCTTGGTTAATACAGGTAAGACAGCTCTAAAAAAATCAGTGCTCACAGAAAAACACATGAGAATGAGTCAGTGTTGGCCAGAGCCCTTTCTAAGAACACAGTGGTTCTGCTCTAAGGAAAGGATCCGTATTTTACAGAGGGGAGTAGGTTTCAAGCAATCATTCAGTCCCTATTCAGGATAAAGGCTCCTCTGAATCCTGGTTCCTTGTACCTAATACTCTTTATTTGCTGGATGGGTGAATGGCAGCACTCCCTTTGTGGTCCTAACACCATGTAAACATCTACACTGGAGACCCTAGCTCTCCTGGATGAACCAATTGAACAACAACATGTGATTTCTCGCATCATGATCCTGCTCCACAGAGATCTTATCACCAAACATGGATATGACCAAGACCACTACAGTGGGAGATGCAAAGAAGCAAGACACCAGTGCAGGTGGAAAAGGAGGTGACTGCTTATAGAGGTCATAGTGCTCAGTGCAGTTCAGCCCTAAGCAGCTGATGAGGCAGCATTAGTACACACAGTAGTGCTGGATGGAGTCATGGTGGAAAGCCACGCCATGCGTCTGCTGAGCTGCCGGCCAGTCCCACTACGGCCTAAGATCATGCATTTCAGCATGAGGCAGGCCAAGGGCTTGTACAAGGTCTCTGATGGGGCTTGTGATCTCTCGAGTCACTGTAATCTCAACCTGAAGCCATCCCAGTACTCGTCAAATTGAAATTTCTATTTCTACTGTTCATCTCCTGGCACATTCACATTCACATTCTCCTGAACAATATTTCTATTGTTCATCTCCTTCTCTGGAGATATTCAAGACCCGCCTGGACAAGGTCCTGTGCAGCCTGCTGTAGGTGACCCTGCTTCGGCAGGGGGTTGGACCAGATGACCCACAGAGGTCCCTTCCAACCCCTACTGTTCTGTGATTCTGTGATTCTGTGATTGCCCTGGTTTTGGTTAAGACAGAACCGATTCTCTTTTAGTGAATCTTTCTTACAGCTAAGTTGTTCTAAGTAACCGCATCTTTCTGAAGCTGGCTGCATATTTTACAGACACTGTCCACTCCAAAGATGATGACACCTAATGTTTATAGTTATACTGAGCTAACGGTAGGAAAGGAATGCAGAAAAAGGCCCCTGTTTATAATTATTACTATAGCAGCTAAGGTCACCCACAGATTTCTTAGGTCCCACAAGTGAGGAGTCAAAAGGGTCGCAATTGCAGGGAGGGGTGGACAGGACAGGTGACCCGATATTGACCAACGTGGCATTCCATGCCAAGCACGCCATACTCAGTTTAAAGCTGGGGGAATCACGAGGGTCTCGGTCTCTTCGTCCATGGCCGCCTTCTGAAGAGGACCCTGCTCATTGTTCTGCCTGCAATCCTGATTCAGATTCTCACCCGTGCGTTCCTGAGTCCAGTTCCTGCCCACTGCCGAGGCCAGTCCGGGACTGCCTGGTGCTGCCTGGCAGCTGTTGGTGGTGGGACGCCAGCACCCGGCACCCAACTCCGGGAAACTCAGTGTTGGTTTTGTATATTTTGCATTATTTCTCTTATTATTACTAGTATTATTATTGTTATTAGTAAAACTTTTTATATTCAGTTTATAAGTCTCTCTCCCTTTTCCTCCTTTTCCCTTCCTCTGGTGGGAGGGTGGGGTTAACAGAGAGTGTCTGCCACTCAGTTTATTGTCACCCTGCTTTAAACCATGACAGGTATTTAAAGTCTTTTTACTTTACGAAAATACATATAAAAAGGGAAACCACTGGAAAAGTTTCCTTAAGAATATGTGCCATTTTATTGGTTTAGACACTTTACAGAATCAGAGTCCTCAAGCAATAAAGGGATCTGATCAGGGAAATAAAAATTTAACATCCACCATGAATTCTTCTCCTTCAGCTATGCTAGTGAGGCTTTCATATTTATAGCAGGAGATTATCACGTTCATGGGATAATAAATTACACTGGATCTAATTACTTCATCACCAGCAATAGTTTTTCATAGACACTGACAGGCCTTAAATTGGGATGCGTCCTTTAATTCTGCTCTTAACCTTCAGCTGAATCTCTCGGGCAGAAGTGCAAAGAGAACACGGCAGTGGGCACGGTGGTGACACAGTGCCAAGTTTTTTTCTGTAGACTGTCCTCCCATGAAAACAACACGTTGCAAAAGTTCTGGTCCCACTTAAATCTGTGGCAAAATCCTCTTGAATTAAGTGGGGCCAGGATTTCACCGTCTGTATTGGTCGACTGGTCTGAGGAGGTCCAAACTGCCGTGTGTAAGGTCAAGCACTTGCGTAGGTTTGACAGATGAAAGTCCAAATGTCGTTGCTGTCTATTAACCCCAGAGGTGGGACAGAGGACGTGGCTGTAGGTAAGCACTCCACCTCACCTGTTTTGCTCCTCGGGGGAGGTTTCTGTGCACTTGTGTTCCTCCCTGGATCCATGTGAGGTTTTTCAAGATGCTTTTCCTTCCAAGAGTTTATCGTTGCCTTCCTCCACCCTGAAAGGCAAAAAAATGGTAGTTCAGCTTATTTATGTCACGACTACTAAGGATCAGTCAGTCTGGACACTGAATCCTGCTTCATGCTGCATAGCTCCCAACAGAGGGAAAAGGAGAATTTTCCACGCATCTGAAGGCAGAAATCCGAGTTCAATTGTTCCAGATGATGTCCTCCAAATTTGCAAAACAGAATTAACTAATAAGTACAGTTCGTTAATGGAGGTTGCGTAGATCCCTTAACGCTGGCTACTTGCATGAATTTACCACTCGGATGAGCAGGCAAGCTGCAGATTCCTGAAGGGAATTCTTTTATTACAGGAATAGTGCCTTTTTTTAAACACAATGGGAAAATTTGGAAGGAAAATAGTTTATAAAACCTCTGTCGAGAATTTAGCTGTTTTGCGTCAGTTATCTGCAAGTAAGAAAAGAAACTTGATGTTGCTTTTAATAAACTTGGCCATTAGACACCACCGTGGAAGGGAGTGGAAAAGGAAGTGGTGGCTTGCTCTGCGGCGCAGAACGGAAGAGCAAAGTGCCTCTCTGTTCACCCCACACAACATCTCAGAAAATTAACGACAAAAATTGGGTGTGTGCCTACAGATGTAGTCAGTGGTGCATCTCGTGTGGGACAGCGCCTGATACCAAATGATTTAAAGGAGTTTAAAGCTAGAGAGAAACCTGAATTGACTGGCTGTATGGTATAGTGCAGAATAAAAATTTCCTTCTTGACCCCAGGGGTGATAGCTGATTACTCCCTGAATCGAGAGACTTGATTAGTCTTATTTCCCTCCTAGCTGGCATAACTCAAGAAATATTACAACTCTAATAAAATTATATCACTGTCTTAAAAATCTAGCTACAGGCAAGACTCTGACCTCCTGTGGCAGTGAATTACCAGGCTGGTGACACGCGATGAGAAATTACATTTCTCTCCGTGGTTCTGAATTCACTAAACTTTCATTTGACCAGGTGTTGCATCCACGTTAGACAAACAGCAGAGGAAAAATGACAAAACTAGTCGTTTTTTATGAAATCTTCTGCCAATGTGAATAACTGAAATATTCTGCTAGTGCTTTCCCCTTCCCAATCCTACAAACCGTTCACAAGGGAGTAGCTTCGGGCGCAATGTTCTGCTCCGCAGTGAGTGTGAAACACAGTCCCAAATATGGGCAGCTGCTCCCACTCGTGTAGCCATTCCCCGTGCTCCTCTCTCAATTTAAGCACTATATGTGTTACTCGAGCTTTGCTGACCCATACCCCAATAGGGGAAGGGAAGAGGAGGAACGCCTGATGATTTTACATATATGCATGTTGAAATATGACTGGATGATACATTATCCTGAGGTTTTCCACGAGTTATTGCACACAATTTCACAAAATTTACTTTACCTGCAGGAGCTCTTGATAAATGTGTGATAACTGTGGAGCTGCTGAATCATCAGTCTATGGTACATTTCACAAGCAACTGTGCACTTCATTGACTCCGTGCTCTTCCTTATCCCATATTCGTGACGGTCCCTTTTCAGCTATCACTCACACCTCCACCTGTGCTAATTGCGTGGCTCTATTAAAGTCACTGGGCTTACAAACATGAGTAAGATTCTCCCAGTGTGTATTTCCAGGATATAGCCTTTAAAAGCACCTTTACCACAGTTATAAAAAAATGGATTTTTCTGACTGTGATTAGTTGTACAGGACAAAAATTAGACAAATGAGAAATGGTAACTATTGTAAAATAAAGCAAGCAAGCAAGTAAGCAAATACTGCCTACTGTATTCAAAAGCACGCAGACAGAAGTATATCTTCCTACAAGCTGGAATACAGATTTGGGAGTCAAATAATAGACATTCTCTAACTGGGAAAAAAAGCAGTAGCTGAAAGGTGTCCAAAGAGCAAAGACTTTGCTTTCTCCGCCCTCCTAAAAAATAATTGGCTTTTAACATCATCTTAAATTGAAATGAATGATAGAAAAAAAAAAAAATCACCACTATGCTTCAATTAAACCAGAAGAAATTCATTTAGAAGAGGATACAGCAAAACTTAAAAGAATGTGAAAAAGGTTTTGGAACAGAAGGCAGATTATAACTATAATTACAGTATTTACTACCGATGAATAATATTGCTGCCTAAATAACACCATGCATATACAAATACACGAATTCTAGTTTTATCTAGGTGCAGCATGTTTGAAGATGACTCCATTTTTTCTGCCTTTTGTTCTAAAAGAATAATAAAAAAAGATGAATCATCAGCTAGGCAGGGAAATTGAGCAGAAAAAATTTAAAAGCCCCTATTTAAGGAAAGGATCCCACTGGCAGCGTATGGTGCACTGTACCACATGCCATAGACTCTCACGCGTGTCCAGCGCTCCTTAATCGCAGCGTCCCACAAAGGATGCTGGCGGAATCAGCCGCTACCTTTTCTGCAGCACAGTGACCAGTTCCAGGAGCCTGTCTCTTTCCACTTCAGCAGCCTGGCAGAGAGCCTTGTGCTCTGTGATCTGCGTCTGCAGCACTTGCAAATCCGGGCTGTCTGTGGCAGCAAGCCTAAAAGCAGCAGAAGCATAGAGAGTCTGTTTCCCATTTCACAAATGAAAGAAATGAAACAAAGACAAGATTTGAAAAACATATCAAAATACCCTTGTCTGAAGACTAAGCCAGAATGCAGAGCCAGGCTCGCTACCTCCCCCCAGCATCAATTTCTACACTGAAATAAATGGAAAAGAAGTATTTGGAAATAAAGCCACCGTGAGTTTCATTAGCAAGGTCTTTCCCTTCGCAAGGATGCTCTTCCTTCCCATCACCCCTGAAAACAAACTTCCACCTCTGATCGATTCACTAGCACCGACTCTCCTCCCACTGCTACCGCCAAAGTAAAAGCAGCCTACGTCTGGATTCTCCAAAGCGCTACGCTAAGCTATTAACTGGCATGCGATCGATTTTCTCCCACTGAAAGGCTTCAGGCAGGATTAGTACCATGGCCGTTCTTGTGCCTAATATGGGGTGAAAGGAAGAGGCAGTTTTCCCATGTATCCCGTTATCATGTACTTCATTAATTCTCCGACCTCTCCGCACAGGAGTATACAGGACTGTTCCCTTTGGAGGAAAAAGCAGGAGAAATCTTGGTGGTTGGGGGTGAAAAGCTAAAAATGGGATTTATGGGGCATATAACTAGCAATCAATTAAAAAATGAAGATAGCAAGAAGACAGTAGAGCTTTGTCAGAGCTCTTTGGCAGTATCAGGTAGAAAGGACGGTGACAGAAGCTGTTTGTTACAGAAACGAGGCAGACAAGGACAAGGCTTGTCAGCAGCTTGCGGAGCATGGCAGGAAACCTCCCTTGTTGATGATGAAGTTTATGTACCTACCTTCCAGGTGTGATGTTATTACTAAGAAGGGAAGGCTCAGTAGCTGCCGACTCTACAAGCATGTGGCCCATCTTGGACACTGTGCTGAGAGGAAGAAAGCTTTGTTAGGCACTGACCTCTACCGCTAAGCTGGTGTCACACAGGCTCTGCATACACAATAGCTCAGCTTGCTCCCTGACTCCAAAACACGCTGCAAAACCACTTTGTGTCTCCGTTACGCAAAAAAAATATAGCTCAGTGTTTGACCTCTGTGCTTCTGGGGGTCCTTGGCTGGCACTCCAGACCAGCATCGTGGAGCTCCAACGTCACGGAGTAGCCACGCAGCAGCTCGTGAGCAGGAACAGCTCTCGACACTGCTCGGCTCCAGCTGAGCATGCAGCCACACAAGCAGCTGCTGCTGCTCTGCTTCCTCGCAGGCGCTGCCTTGGACCCTCGCCGAGAGCACTCTCATCTTACGCCTTCACTCGCTAGGGTGAGATACAAGCAGCGGTTACGGTGCTGGTTTGATGGTGTTTGCACGTCGCATGCTTTCATAACCAATGGTACCTCTGTTCTGCAACAAGGTGCGCAACTTGGATTTCCAAATGCCTTTTATAAAAATATAATTTATATAGTTTTCTGAATGCTTTTGCTTTGTGGAGACCCTCAGGAGCATCCGTCGGGCTTACTGTCGTAAGAGGAGTTGTCAGCTGGTAACACTAGAGTATCACTCCCAGTCTGGATGGGTTTTATGCGTAACGATCTGTGTGCTTCGGACGTAAAATTCTTGCGTCTGTTTTCCAAACTTGAGCTCAGCTGCCTAAAGGCAAGTCCCCGTAGACTAAACCCATGTTTCCTTGTCTTTAGGCTGCAGCTAACAGAGGGTAAGGCCGTAATATTCTGGAATGGGTAGAGCTGCCTTCTAGGCTAGGAGTGGTTAATCCTAAAAATCAAGTTAAGGCTGATAATGACAGAAGTGGCCCAGTCTAAAAATGCAGATTTTTACTTCGATATCTCCAAGGGGCTTTAGGTCCTATTTATAGCATTTTTCATTTCATCTTTGCTGATAGGAAAAGATGATTCACTAAAGTAAAACGGAATAGAGAGTTCATGAGCATATTAAAGTTAATGGAATGAGTGAGCCCTGCTGACCACGTTATTAACAGCTCCTGCAGTTTTCAGACTCATTCATCGCCCACCCGACGTGCCAGCTACTTTCATGACAGAGCTATGTTAGCCACGTATACAAGCAATAATTTATGCATTGCGCTTAGAGGCTTCTACAAAGCCATTACCCAACCTCATTTTCCTGCTTGCCTTCAGCAGACATATGAAGTAAAAAAGGGGATAAAATATAGATTTGCTGCGTGACAGCACAACAACTTTTGCAGATTTAGAAGGGGGAGAATAAAGTCAGTCAGAAGGGTGTAACAATGGAGATGTAGAAAATTTCAAATTAAGCATGTTTTAACTTGAAAAAACAGAGAAAAATTTTTCTTAAATTATGTAGTAATGCTCTGCTTAGACTCAGGGATACATCCAAGAATTTTAAAGCCAAATTCAGTGTCTGAACTAATGTGGTAGGTGAGCTGGAATTTAACTCGATGAAAAATTTCCTCCTTCATCAGAAGGCCAGTCTCAAATCCTCATTGTCAATTAGACCATAAACTCTTCAGCAACAAAACCAGCATTTTAAGAGGAAAGGATATAACTTGCTCTGGTATTACGGTCCCTTCACGCAGCCAGAGTAACCCAGAGTCACATCAGCGTAAACAGAAATCAGACTTAAAGCTGTATTAAGATTAGTACAATTTACATAGTTCTCAGTGAGGCTTTAAAATGGGTGTTTGTTAAGAACAAATGATGCGGTGCGTTTTCAATGTTTCTGCAAGGAAATCCTACCCAAAGCATATTTATTGATTTAAATAATGTGCCAGTGATTTAGTGCTTACCTAAAACAGCGTTTTGTATTAATTCACTACCCTGCTCTCAGAAGTCTGCTCATTAGAAGCCCCGTTTCTCATAAGAGAGAAGAATCACGGGCACTTAAGCTAACCCCATAAACATCTGAGCTGGAGGAAGAGAATTAGCTGCGCTGCCATCATGCCAAATGTAGTAATGTCTGCAAGTCTGTATATCTTTTTCTGTTCCAGGACGAAAGTCCAACAGATAATGTGATTAGAGATTCCCATATACTGTAAACAAGCTGCCACAGCTATTGGCACCCAGCACTTGTGGTTTGATACAACTGTCTGGGAAAATCATGCTTCCGAATAACTCACAACAATTTTAAACATTGACATTAGGGTCTTCTTACCAAGCAGATCCAATCCTTCCAACCTGATTGCTGCCTGATGCCAGAGCCTTGACCAGAATAAAACCTGGATCTTCTGAGTGCTCAGAAGGTGGTGTATCAGCAGCTCCTGAACCGTCCCCTTGATGGGCAGATTTCTTCTGTCAATGTTGGAGAAGGTTATAAAACCAATTACACAGCTCAAGGGAAAATAGCTGCATCAATGCCTAATCAGCAGCTTGTGATTATTGCTACAAGCATGCCAGAACTTTTGATTTACAGGACTTCCTTGGAAACTTTTATTTAGTTTCTATCCACTGCAGGATGAAAACACAGCAAAAGTCAGTAAAAAGTGCAGTTTCTGATGAAATCAGTGTCGCCAGAGAACTCGCAGAGCAGCACCACCAGTACCACTGCCAGCGCAGTTGGTTTGTGTCCCTACCCGAGTTTTATCTTTGGTTCAACGCTCTAGCCTCCATTACTGAGTCATCTGACAGATCAAAATGTTACTGTAACGGTACAGGGTTTTACACTGATGGGAATTGGATGTCTAAATACTCCAGCGAAACCTGACTATAAGATATGAGACCACACGAGAAGCTTTTGGCAGGTTAGTGGGCTAGTGGGCTGCCTTTCCACCCCTGTGCCTGTGCTCTGGCAGTAGCACCATCTTCCCTCAGTTTGCAACACTAGACCATAAAAGCTGAAAACCTTTCTAACATACCAGCCCATAAGGGGCCAACCTTCCCAACTCTTTCATCTGTACAATGAAATTTCTGTATCCCTGAGACCCATCAGACTCACATCAATAGTTTGGAGATCTGAGGGAGAGGAATTTTTTGAAGTGATTTACAGTGGGAGACAAGAATGACTTACTAAGGGTCCCATCACTCCAAGAGGGGATGTAGCTGGGTACCACGGCAGCCTGCTGAATTTGGCCTCGTCTATGTTTGTTTGCTTGCTTCCTTCAGCAGCCAAGGATGCTGAATACTGAGAAGTCCCCATTGCAGCCCAACCCTTGCTGTCAGTCATGTCACAGTCTAGACATGGAGCCACGTGTGCATGTGATTGATATTTCTGTGCTTTTCTGCTGCTTAAACAGCTTGAAGAAAAGTTATGTACATGCAGGAAAGAAACTTCAGAGTTACAAGAGAGAATTCCTGCTTTACCATTCCATCAGGAAAGACTGTCAGTAGGACAGGTACTAGTGTCTCGACCCAGCGACCAGCTTGGATAACAAGGGAGAAGGAAGTGGAAGAGCACATCTAAAATGACTACAAAGTGTGCTCCTCGGGTTAACTTCTTCTGACTGTCTACCTGAAGTGTGAGTTGCTCAATCTCCTCTTCCAGCTCTTTAACCTTTGCTTCTCGTTCAGCCACCATCTGTCTGAGTTGCTCTATCAGGAAGTTTTGTTTCTGAACCTCACTGTTCAAGTGCTGCCCTAGTGTCTCCTGGGATTCCTTGTTCTGCTTGTCTTCCTGGCTCAGGTGCTTTAAGATCTCCTGCATTTGCTTCTGTTGGCTCTGACAAAATAGAAACAATGAGTGAAATCTTCACTTTCGAACACAATGATTACTATCACACCCTCCGGTGTTTTAGACCCTCCAAGAGAAATACCCATTTAGGAACGTTAGGGCAAGCCACAGCCCCACCAAACGCATTCCTTGGAGTAAGCACATTGATATCATTAGCGCTACTCCAAGAATTTGGTCCATTATGGTTTATGCATGAGATCACCTTGTCTGGTTCCCAGCATCTGTCCCTTGAGAAGACCGCACAGCAATGCCCAGATACACGTGGCTGGGTAAGACAGTCTGTCCCCACCTGGTCATATCACGACTTTAGTGACTGGATGGTGCAAGTAGAAAGGACCTGAACAACTGAGAGATTCCATTTTCTGGCAGCTTTGCTCCTTGGTGTAGCATAAAAGACAGCAAAAAAGGCTGGCCTTTGACAAAGAAGGTGACTTGTTCACAAACTGGATAAAAGTAAAGATTTCAGTTTGCTTTTGTGTGAAATTAGAACACCTCAGATTGTGTGATGGTGACATTAAGAGATGAGGGTTGTATAAGACAACAGCAGGGAGGCTAGGCTGCTTTACCAGCGGGTTTTGGAGTTTTTCTCACACTGACAAATCTAATGTTTGTCAGAGAGTTTGTTCTGTCAGGTCAACAAACTGCAAGCAAGGTGCTTCTGTGATGTAAGGGCTAAAACAAGTTAACCATTCCTTCCCAAATACACTTGCATCTTTATAATAATTTTAGTGAGAATGCTGGGACTTAGCAAAAGCCACAACTGTTATTTGGCTCCTCTGGAATGTGCCTAATCTGCTGGTCAGCACCCACACTGCCCGCGGCTGCCTGGTGTGCAGAAAGGTGAATGCAGCTTAGACATGTCTTAGCTAAAACCTATGCACAGAACCAAGGCAACGCAGGTGATTTGAAGCTTGTGAGGAGCTGGATCAGGAAAAACCCTACTAAGCAGCAGCATATTTTCTGATTTTTTTTTTTATTATTGTAATTGGGGAAGACTATTTAGAACTATGGCAGGACAAAAGGGTCCTGCAAGACCATGACAGCACAGCAGCCATTTACTTCAGCATAACCGCTTCTTGAGTCTCCACTAATACTCTTGGTTTTGAAGGGGCTAAGTCCTCTCAGCTCCAGCTACTGCAAGTGAATGCCACACGGTTTGGTACTCATGGTTCACCTTGTGTGTTTTGGGCTGTGTAACACAAAAAATTAAAGTGCAAGATCGCAGGCATTCTCAGAAAAGAAAATACCAGTGGAGCTGAAAGCAGAACAGAGAATGCAGTCTAGCTTCATGGGTCAGGAATAAAGCTCTTCTATACCTACTAGCCCATCTTATTTCAATCCTTCTGCAAAATGTTTCTTACAACTCTTGCAGCTTAGAGCCACTCGACTGCAACTGTGTCACGCCTGGTGCTGTCTTGCAGCCTTTACATGATCTGATCAAAAATGAAGGGCTTTAGCTGACTACGAAACCTCCGGCTGTCACAGTTTGATTCATCAGGCCCCTGCGTACCCTAAGGTTGTCTGTGGCATCGTGTCATTAAATGACATCACGTTTCATCCCTTATAGAAAGAGGGCTGATCTGCAGAGGCTGGGACCAACAGTAACAGTCAGACTGTACCAGTAAGGCGTCTATGAGCTCATCGTCGTGTTTTCCTTTCTCCAGCAAGGTTACGATCTGTTCCTTCAGGGTTTTCACTTCGTTGCACAGTACTTTGTTCCTGGCTTTTGATGCATCAAGCTTTTTTTTCATTTCCTCATGACTTTTTTGAAGAGCATCATGTTCCCCAGTGAGTTTCTGCAGTGATGCAAACACATCATAGGAAATGACAGTTACAGCCTATCACCAAGTCTCAGATGCTTTGGTGAACTCAAGAAATCACACATTGTCTGATAGAATCCAAAAAATGGAATTGGCACACCGTATCATCCCTGAGGAAGTAGAAATTATAAATGCTACTACTCACTGCCCGCTTGCCAGCATCAAAAAAGGTCTGTCTGCTCAGGAATACAAGTAGACTTGGTCAATTCAGTATGTGCCAGGAAGCAAATGCTACTTTTGTCTTAAAACCTAATTCTGTATGCTCCTGCTTTTTCGTCTGCCTCATCATTCTCTGTGGGGAAACTCTATTCCTTCCATATACATGGCGGTGATGCCACGCTTTGTATCTACTAGAAGCTGTCCTTGGCATACGCTGTCCCCTGAGCCATGCCTTTACCTAGACGAAACGCCAGCAGTGAGGCAGTAATGGGCAAGTACAGGGGGAGCTGTTGTGAACGGAGCCTGAAACACAAAGGCAGAAGCGGAACCACGCACATTACTGTGATTGAGGAAAGCCTCCCCTGTGCTGTGTACCTGTAGCTATAAATCTTCTCTTCCATTCTCACGGCCAAGAGTGAAAGGTGTGCATCGCCCCACTGCTCATCCTGTTGCACGGTTAAATTGTGGTGAGAAAAGCAGCAGCTACTCAAGCTCTGGGATGGTGCCAGGTGGCCGCTACAGAAGCGAATACAGGGAAGGAGCACAGAGAGATGCGCTTTGCTAACCTGGATACTTGTAGCTGACCCCCACCACACACGTTTCCTGCGAACACAGGCCTATGTATCCTTTCCACCTCAGGATTTACTACGTGCCACTAACTATAGCCTCTCTCAACCCCTAAATGCCTGTTTATTTTTATAGCAACTACATCTGATAAATGGAGGGTAAGACCCATTTTCAGAATGCCTCTTAGAGGGTGTCTGGTGTAATTCTCAGTTTTGTTCTGCTTGCAGGTAGAAGCCCATAGCCATACAGATACATGAGGTGTGAGGGGGATGCTTGTATTTAACAGCGCGTGAAGAATGCACATCTGGCCACAGGGTGAGGGGGATGCTACAGAGCTTGGATGCAGCTGTAGCAGGCTTCTTTCTGCATGTGTCTTCAGTATAAACCCAGTGCCAGCTGCACTGCAACCCAGGGCCTCTCCCCCTCTTTCTAACATCACATATCATGCACAGTTGCCAGGTAGCCACATTTCAGGTCAAGTGGATGCATCCGACACATGAATCATGAAGCAGAGGGGAAGACCAAATGTTGTACTGCGGAGGTATGCCTGGCCATGCAAGAGTGCAATAGACACAAGCATGGAAGCCTTTTGCTCAGTCTGTGAAGCGTGGCAGAACTTCCTCCAGCAGATCAGGTGGGTTTCCAAAGTCGTCTCTGGGTACAGTGTAACATACACCCTGAGAGTAAGGCAAGTTATTACACACTATATACCCATACATGTGAGCTCTGTCAGCTCACAGGTTTTTACCTCCAAAGTTTCTTTCTTTTCTTTTTCCAAGCTGCGAATCTTCAGCAAGTTCTTCTCTTGGGCTGACAACTTCCTTGGATCAGTAAGAGCCAGCAATTCCTCATCAATGTCACTCAGTGATGTTCTGGTCTTGTTTTGGCTCAGCTGATTCTCCAGCTCTCGAACCTAGGGGACAATAATGACAACTCACCTAGAGCCTTAACCGGGAGTACAGTGGTCCAGCATCTAAGACCACATAACCTAAGAGAACTCAAGAGTGTAGCATCGTATTACTTACTTCCTGACATTATCATGGTTAACTAACAAAGAGCAGTGTCTGTTCTTTCAAATTTAAATTTGTTAGCTGCTAACAAATACACAGAAGTCTAAGGCATCTGTGCAGGGAGGAGATATGACGTAAGAGCGACAGGAGAGTCAAGACATGGGAGATCTGTACCTTATTGGAGCCACATGTGGAGGCCAGGCAGGCTCTCCAAAGCATCTTGAATGCCACTAAGCACATGTCTGGGCAACAGAATAATACCCAGGTCTCCTCTAAAAGGGCAGACACCCACTCACTTATATACATTTAAGCATCTCAGTCTTTAGCAGAATCACCATCCAGGATGCCCACACAGTAAACATTTAAGGCACAGTTCACTAGCCTGAACATAGGTACCTAGCACTGTTTGAGATGTCCTGGGATACTGGAGATGCATGCGACACAGGATCCACAAGACATCCATAGTCCTCTGGAGAGATGACCAGAGGTTAGAGGGACACCCTACGGCATCTCGGCTGGCATTAGACACCTATGTGTGGTCAAGTGAACTCAGCCCCTGCATCTCAGCTGTTCACTGCAGACTTCTTCACAGTCAGTAGAAGGACACGGGCACTGCTACAGCAGTTCCTCTGCCTTGTTCTGGAGGTGTCTTCTAAGATCGGATCCACCCACCAAACTTTTGACCCAGTGACTGTATTTACAAGATGCTCACTGACTATAGAAGGGGCCCAAGGAGACTGGCTCAGAAATGAAATTTCTATGTTACAGTACAGTATATACAGTCTAAAGATGAATCCCAGCCAGGGGGTCAAACGGAATGAAAACGTAGTTTGCTCAAGGGAAAGTAGAGGTTAACAATTTCAGTCAGAGGGCAAAAATCACAGTTAGTTGGCATATAATTAAACAGCAGAAAAACAGGAAAAATACGTATCAAATTGCCTAAGAGAAGTACCATTTAAGATGCAGATGAAACTGCCTGCCTGTCTTAAGCTGACATTTCAGCTAGACTGTGCCCTTCAAAAGATTCAAGAGTTAAAGATTTTACTGACATTCCCGGGGGAACAACTTGAAAATCTTATCTGGCCTCAATTCTTCCCGTCTGAGTTTCAGCAGTGAACAAAGGTGCCTAAGTGAGAGCACAGACACTGACAGGGCTCCCTCTGTACTCAGTGGAGAGAGGCATCTTCAAAACACCCTGGGATTTCAACTAGGCTGCCATAGCTCTCCAAGGTCACTGCACTCTCTCCTTTGACACAGATGTGAAAGATACCCAGCGTAAATACCGAAGCTTGCATGTTTGCAATAGACTCATTAATATAGTTTGCAGGAATTTTGAAAGACCCTGCATACATCAACACGTATTTAAAAATTAACACCCTTCCACCACACACACATGTGCGTGCATGCACACACACCCATGCACCAAAAAACTATTATAAAAGTTACCATAAAGTGTTCTATTCTAACAGTTGCTTTCTTCAACAGGAAAAAGACTGGCCATGCAGTTGCAGCAAACGCTGTTTGTACTGGGACACACCTTATAAGCAGGTTTAGATGTTAAGAATTACTTAATGAAGAACTAACAGTACCTTTAAGTCAAGCTGAGGTAACACCTCTACGTAGCAAGAGCATCCCAGCACACAGCTTACACGGCACCGTGCAGGGTCTTAACTCACCTTGCTTTGGAGAACAAGAATTTGCTGGGCTCGTCCACGCCAGCTGCCAGAATTGGTCAAGAGACTTTGAATATTCACATCTTCACCAACTTCATGTGCTAAAAGCTATGAAAAAGGGATTAACATCAACAATAAGGCCAGGCTGAAATACATGTGTTGGGGAGAGGGGAGGAAAAGCTGCGCTCTCTAGCAATAAACACAAACCACTTCATCTTTACACAGTGGCCTTTATCGCCTGCATCTGATACCCTGCATCCCACGTGATGTAAGCTCTTTCAGATCCCTAGCACAATACAGAGCGTTGGTGCTCAGAAGGGGTTTGGCTAATGTGACTCATTTCACTTTGTGAGGTGGGTAATTTAGTATTTTGATGTTTTAGCAATATTCTTTGATTTGTTTTTTAAATGTGAATCTGTGTTTTGCTGCCCACCTATGGAGACCGTCAAATTGTACCACCTAGCTGTATAGCTGGGTGTCCAACTGCGCTACTTTTGTAAAAAGAGGATTTCAAACTCATCACTAAGGTGCACTAAGCATTACCGACAGTTTCAATATATGCAATTATTTCTCATATAATAAATACTTAACCAGAACTAAACAGGAACGGAGTAGAGATACTGTTTTAACACACCCCCTTGCAATCAGGAATTGAGCCAATCTCTCTTGCACATTTCCAACACTGCCACATTAACGAGAGCTAAAGTTAGTATGAAGAGCATTTAAATTATTTATAAAAAGGTCAGCAGAGTTCTATTTTTAGGACCACAGTCTCTACTCTGATCTGCATTGCAGGTCTCTTATGCAAAGTAATGAAATCAAAGGAAACAGAGCACATAGTAATGCATTAAAATCCAGCACAAATCAAAAAGGAAAAGGTCACTCTGGATGTCACTCCAGAAAATGTTGAAACACGTGCTTTAGTTCAAGCGTGGTCTTTAACACCATTGACTCCCATGGGACTGAAGCCTACATTAAAAGTAAATACATAATTAAACGTCTTGGAAAGGAGGAATGGGCATGAACATATGCTTCAAGTCAATCACAAACCTATTTTGCTGAACTGCGACTTTCAAACCTTGAAGAATCTGTACCCACCATAGCAATAGAAATAATGGATGCAGTCACCCAGCTATGGTGGCAGAGCGTGAAATCTGTGTGTCCATGTGCATATCTTTCCAATACAGCCACTACACCTGCGTCTTATCCCCTTACAGTTCACTGGAACACTTCATGGAGGCTAATCAAAGCTCAAAAGAAAAGAAGCCTTCTGATTCACTAGAATATACCCCTTGCACAGGACCCCAGCCACTGCCTGCGTCCTGCAACAGTACCTTTTGGGTCATCTTCAGTTCCTGTTTTGCAGATTGGAGTTGGTTACGATACTCCATCACTTTAAAGTTGGCTGTGGTTAACTTTTCTTGCAATGCTTTCACCTCTGGACTTTCGGCCTTTGAAGAGAAGAATGTACTTGCTAAGAACAAAATCCTCAGGGAAAAACAGATCCGTCAGGATCACAGAATCTTTTTTTTCCCAGACCCCTGCAAATGCTTTCCCTAATTTTTGGGGTCATAGAGAAGGTACAAACAGAGCAATTTGGTCACAAAGCTAGTGACAGGGATACATCCTTGTCATAAGAAAAGGACTGCACAACAGGAGAGAACCAAGTATCAGTTACTGATTTCCCCTCTTCAATTACAATTCATACCAAGTTTCCTTCTATCATCTTCAGAGTTGATTGCTTGATTCCTGCATTACCAACACCAAGAGGGCGCATTTTTTCTATGGCTGTCTGTAGCTGGAAAAAAATGCATTGTTGTTATTTAATGAATACAGTGATGAGCATACCTCCATGGAATACTGATTAACAAAAAAGTACAACAGCAATTTTCATGCTCTTGGATGTTTATTTACTCTAGAAAAAAAATTACTTCTTTTTCCCTTGTTTTTTAAACACAATCAATAGGAAAGCATACAATTTTTTTTCCTGAAATACTTTCCAAAGAAGCGTGTGTTATTTTACTCCAGGATAACTTGAGTGAGAATGCCTCTGACTTGCTGAGATGAGATCAGTTATCACGTATAGAGACTTCTGGGGGATTTTATCACCATAGGTTCATAAAATAAGTGTTTATACTGAAATGAAAACCCAGTTACGGTACAGATCAGGACGTTGTCTCTAGATTCTGGATGCCAGTTTACCCACAAAATCACAGGATATTTTATAAAAAGCACATAGTTCTACTCACCAGAGGAATATAAAAGGAGAAATGACTACCTAATGCCCTATAGCTGAGATTTAGTAAGGATGTTAAGGCTCTTCTTCTTTAGCTCGAAGGTAACATTTCTTGGCCCCTGAAGAATATGTCTCCTATTGCTTGCCACAGCAAAGGCAGGCAGACATATAGCCCCTCCTGCTTTGAACAGTGTCCTGTGCTGAGGTTGCAAAGACTTCTCACTGGACGGGAGCGCCCTGAATTTGGAGCTGGAAAGCCCATGAAGTGTTGCTTTAAAGGGCTGAGACTTCATTCTTTGAGCTGGGCAGAAAAATCTCAATTATTTGCCTGAATAAAAGAAGGCTGTAAGGAATAGCTTCTTCATTACAGTGTTATCTGGGGAAACAGAGAGCACAACTCGGATCCAGCTCTAGTGCTAGCCCTTCTTTGCGAGTACCCCAATGGTTAGGCCACCCCTGCTATCCAGTTCATAAACTCTTTAAGTGAATGGACTGAGAATGAGAAATTTCAGCTAGTGTTGGCAGCTGCTAGGTCAAATTCCAAGGAAATTTTCTGTAAACATCCATTTGCAGTCTTTGTTTACACGTACCACCCTTTGCTAAGTGATTACTCAACAGCCACACCTTCCATTTTGTTCATGGGAACACAGTCACATTAATACACCATTTACATATTTTTCAGTTTTCATACGAGCAAACAGCTAACAATTACATAAAATAACAGTGTTTTCCACTGGTGAAAGTACATATTGTGATGCATTGGTAGGGTACCATCACCACAATTCATTCTGCAGAGTTTAAGGCATCTGGAAGCAGGCGTATGGGGTGCAACTCAACTCACAAATTAAAACTTCCTTGTTTTCAGCGTGGGTGTCTCTACAAAGAATGGAGTCTGGGTGACACAATCAGGGAAGTCTAGTCTTCGGCTCACTCTACAGCAGACACCCACATTACATCAAGTGGATGCACTGACTGCAGACTCTGTTTTGCTGCCCACCCACCTCTGTCTAATCCCATTTGAGGCATCTGAGGGTATCCAGCAGTCTGAGAGGTCAAGCGGCATCTCAGACGGTACTTCTACGCTTACACGTTGGCAACTGAATTGCACTTCAGCTGTCTTGGTTCTTTCCACAATCAATGTAAAAGATGAGCGTGTCTAGACAGTGATCCAGCTTGGCTTAAGAGTTACTAAAGGGATGTGAATCACTGCAGGTTCCTATCTATGACAGCTCAGCTCCTTCATCACTCAACATTTTTCATCGATGCCTCCCACTATCAAATAATGCTTTAATTTTACCCATCTTTTATATCTTCATACAGTTCAAGTACAATCCACAGACTAAGCCAGTGACCATTAGTTTAGAGAAGAGCCAGCTCAGATGAGGCTGTGAGAAAACATAGACCACTGACCAGGGCATGGTTTCAGCGGGGTTCACACTGTGGTTCATCTCCACCTCAGATGAGACAGGTTGCTGTGTTTGGTTTGGATTTTGATGGTGCTGGTGTCTAAGGCCAGATTAGTTCACAACTAAAGTGTCCATCTCTGCTTTGACCAGCAGTTTTTGTTTCCTGAAAACTTCTGTTTGCTTTGAGTTTGATTTCGTTTCCCAAAATGTCTGCAGTCCTTTCTTTTAGGTCAATATCTGACAATATTTTAAGTTTCTGTTTGAATAACGGTCCTTAACACTTCTGCAGTAGGGAATTATAACCAAGTTGATTTTTCTTGAAATTATTCATGGCTTGCTCCCCTACTGGTGTGATTTTGTAGGTGCCCAGCTACACCTGATATGTCTTAGCCAGCCTGCCAACTGTTTGGCAAGACTCCTCTGAACAGAACACTCTGGATTTCTGCAGAAGATCTCAAACACTTCATCTACCACATCTTAATCTTTCAGGTAACTGGGGTACAATTCAGATAGATGCATGATTCATGTTAATAAGTGACTGTGAAAGATGGAGTCAAAATGCACTTGTCAGCATGACAAATGTTATTGATCCATTTAAAAGACATCTTCTAAGGAAGCAAAGTGCAGAAAAAAGCCTTCAAAATTACACAAAATTTTATAGGTGTTGTGTAAGGGAGTGCAGTAGTAGCCAATGAAAAAGTAAACATTGACGTCGGGGCATCTAATTTCCATTTCAGCAGTCACCTGAGTAAAGTTATTCCTGTGAATGTTTAGCACTTATAAAAAAGTCATACTAAACCAGAAATATAAATTTGCCTGATTTGCTGTCTTCAGTGATATAGTTTGTAGCTGTCTCGGTTCTGGAAGTACTTATACCAGAAAACAGCTTTCATTACATGGATGAATAAAGCTTAGAAGAATAGAGTACTAATTCATGGCTGGTATTAACGAGGTGGGAATGTAAGATGTAATGGTATGAAATTTGCTCCTTCTCACACACAGAAAAAAATAAATCAGAAAAATATCATTACCATACTTCTAGAAAAGCTTCTCTGCCTCAAATACAAGTGAACATTCCTAACTGATATTTCATAGACCTTTCTCTCATTATAACTTACTGATATTCTTTCCTATGTCCTCCTTTCTGCAAAGGTGGCAACAACTAAGGGCGCACATCTCTCTCTCCTGTCATGGACAGAAATTACAAGAACTCAAAGCCAGCATGGATGCAGGAGCAAATTCAAAACGGGAACATGAATTAAACCCAGTTTCCACAGCTCCTCTATCCCAAAAGCTGGATTATTATGTTTTAGCATGCAAAAAGAGAACCAGAAAAATGCCTCACTTCTTTCTCCAGCTCTTTGACTTTGTTATTCAGTTGCTTCACTTTGGCTTTTTCACTCTCAGTCTCGGCAGTTATCTCACGATTCCTTTTGGCCAATTCAACTATTTTAGTAGCTGCAACATCTCCAGCTAAACCAGACGCCCCTGAAAAGTACACATAAAAGCAAAGGACACATCTTACAGGCGAGATTCAGAATAGATGATGCTTTTGTTCTCTGTCCAGTGCACAATGTACTTTTATTGTCTAATCCATTTCTTTCAGAGCTGTGCCAGGCACTTAAATGAACAAGTGAGGGAAAAGAGGCGTCAGAGACTCCAGCTGGATTGCTTGGTCCTTGGAGTCAGCATCACACTGCAGCTATGAAAGCCATATTTCACACTTCAGCAACAGCCACATGTCAGAAGGCCACAACAGTGGTCGTAGCAACACTGCTACATAGAAAGGGTAGAGGGGTTTTCTGCTCACCGCTGTGAAGGGCAGTTATGAAGGTAGGCAGGTTTTTACGACATATTACAGAAAAAGACAATGCTCTCTCTTGCACTGGTTGTTTACTACTGGAGGAGCTGCTGAAACAGAGGTGCAAACTTTTCTAGACATCTGTCCTAAAAGGTCAGGCACACTATTACAGTTGGGTCCTGGATTACGTCCAGGAAATTTCATTGTGCCTATTTATATGCCCCTCGCTATTAGGCATGGAGCCTTACGGTGTTACTCTTTTAACTGCTCTTTTAAACAGACACTTCATTCACCTCCTCATCAGAGAGGGTTTGCTTAGTGTCACAGACAAAGTAACCCCCAGGACTGGCTTGTGTGTCACTTGGCTTTTGTTAACATCATGTAGGCGAAGAAAAGTTCTCACACAAGTGCAAAACCAAAATGATTGCATACAATGTCCACGGAAACCTCTCGCTCAGCAATGAACACGAGCGTGCAATAACAAATCCTGGGTGGGATATATGAAGACTGAACTCGGCTATTGTCATCCTTCTTAACTCTTTCATCCCCCTACAGTGCCCTGAACTAATGACTTTTCTACTGACCTTTGTGAAGTCTATAGTCAAGAACCGGCGTGAGATGCAAGGATCACAGATCACTCTTAAGTGAATTCTGAGTCCCACAAACCCCCTAGAGACGTTAAAGGGGCTATGCGAAATACAGGTGAGAACAGAAAATGACCCCATGTCACTATTTAAAAACATTGTAGAGAAAAAAATAAACTCATTATTTTTAAAAGCGTTTCCACTGTTCTTACTCCTTTATCTGCTAGGTGTTTCCCCTCTCATCTAGAAGCTACTTTTTCCTTCATTTTTACAATAAATAACTGCTGCTAAGGATCACAGTAATTACTAAACTAACCAACAGCCAGGTTGGCGCTGCCAGCTGACCCAGTAATAGCTTATCGTTTCTCCTACATACAAGCTACAGAGAGTTTTTAAGTGTTACTTAGTTCTGCTCATTGCTGGTTTCCCCCTTGGCCGCTAGCCGGGTCATCGCCGCTGTCCTGAACAACAGTGGCACCCAGTGGAGGAGGTGCAGCCTGAACAGTTCGATTTTCAAAGGACACCCAAGCCACTACAGAAGCTGGACTTTGCATTCAGTCAGCATCCTGCATGTGCCCTCTTCAGGCATTCCAGCAAAAGGGGCCTGAATAAGGAAATTACCACTACGTAGCAGTGAAAGCTGCAATGCTGCTCTTTAACAGAAAGCTTTTCAAAACACGATTTCTATGACTTTTCATTTTTTTGTGCCAATAATAGCAAGTTAGAAAAAGCTCTGTGAGGAACGGAGATCACTGTGTACCCCAAAAGAGCACTATATTTATTTTAAGGGACATATAATTATCAATAACAATATTTTGCACCTTAGGTCTGACCCGTCTGACTACCAGAAGTCATTTGGTTCTTTCAATAGCTAAGACTGGTGGTAGTAATATTCGTATTTTACAGCTCATGAAACTGAAGGAGAGAGCAAGACACAGATCTTTCAGCACACATGCCATTCCACACGTTAGTGTTACCACGTCAAACCACTGCAAGGAACTTCCCTCTGCAAATCAGGCAATGAGACTTGTCATCAGGAGAGACATCGGCGTTTAGGAAACTGCACACACGAAACAGTGTCAGCTTAGACCCTTGCAGGTTTAGGCAGCGACTCTAAGTGTTGACTAAACCTATATGCAGGTGTCTAAATATCTGCAAAGCTTGGAGCCAAGTGGTTTCAGTGCTATTGCAAATTACTGCAAGCTCGACAGAGAACAAGTCTCTCCCAGCTGGAGAGCTGAATTTTGGTTCTTCCTATAGCAGAAGGCTTGTTATAGGAGTAGGAACGGAGGCAACCACAATGTGACTGAAATACAACTTTTTCACATAAAGCAGGTAAAAAGAAGTCACATGAATATTCCACTGCCAGGAGCTCACAACGAATCTGTCACCCTGCCTCTACTGTCACCAGCATCGAGCAAACACTGGAACCACCATAGTGAGAACACAAAGTTACTGGGCTTACCTGACAAAGCCAATCTGTCCTCCTGTATTTTTTTCTGGAGTTGCTTTATTTCAAAATCTTTCTGTGTCAGCAGTTTGTATAGTCTGCAGTTCTCATCTCGGACCTCTCGAAGCTGATCCTGGAGCTGCTCGTTCTCAACCTCAAGCAACCTGTGAGAAAATAAACCATAACGGCAGATGTCACTGTAATGTGCTTCAAATAGATGCTTCCAGAAATAAGATAACAAAATGACTGTATGCTAGATGAGCTGAGCTTACCAGGAGTGAGTTTACTGAATTAAGTAGAATATCCTAAACCTCAGATGAGAACACCAGCTGATGATCTGATCTATTCAGTTAACTTAATACTTCTTCAAAAATTCTGCACTTCCTTGTGTTGTCTAAGGGCAAAACATCACAGAACAGGTATCTTTTCAGTGCTCTTGAGGTTACGGAACAGTCTCATCTCACTCAGTCTTACTTATCTGGTTCTTCAGAGGAAGCCAGGCAAGCTCTCCATTCAGCATCCGTGACATTCAGCCTTTACTTTCTGTGCTTATCGAAGCCAACAGAAGTCAAAAGAGCATCAACTACAAAAGCTGCTACTGAGGTTGTTTATTTAAAGATGTGTGCTCTATAGCAATTCACAAAAGACCAATGTCCTGTGTCCTCATCACAATTTCTTGGAACCCCACCAGGACGGACTGACATCAGTTTGTATTGTTAATGTTACTTTTTGGAATGCATTTAGAAAAAAAGAATATCAAAATGCCCTCTGAACAGGATGAAATGGCCTTGCTTCTCCTATTCTTCAGTACATTTAGTAACATTTATGGGTTTCATCTCTCTAAGACATCCAGAGAATTAATAACTTTAACCTCTTTGCTGTCCTTACATAATGATTCCTCCTAGCGTAAAATCTAGAAGCTAAGGCCTCGGGCTCAACTCGATTGTGGGCACTCAGGCATCTATTTGAGACACCCCAGGATTATCTAATCCCTCCACCTGAGACCAGCATCCATGGCACAGGGTTCCTGGGAAAACTTCTGGGGCCCAGTCAGGGAATCGAGAGCATCCCAGACAGCACTTGCCACCCACGCATGGACATAGGAGCCAACCCCAAGAATTACTGAAATCCTCCAACTTTAGACATACCTTTTAGCCAGACCCCTCCAGACAGCAGCATTTCAGAATAGAAATGAACCTGTCTGCATTCCCCGGAGAGGAAACCAAATGTGGTGAGAGGCTGTACTGACACTGCCTTCGGTAAATGTTTGTGGTAGAGACGCTGCTGGCTCAAGTCAGCCGTTCCCATTCTGCCTGCCTTGCAGATTCCTCTCCCCTCCCACCCGAGTTTCCCCATCTGAGTTTCAGGGTGGGCTCCCACTCCGTACCAAGACATGAGTGTCTCTCTGTGAGCAGCAACTCAAAACACACACAAAATACAAAGCAGGGCTGTAAACAGAGCTGCCTACAGACTAGCTACCACTGCAGGGTGACCTGAATCGCTCTCAGACTGCCACCAAGTGCAGCGATGAGGGGACTCAATTTGGTCACCCACACACAGGTGCCATTTGGGCTGCCCACCCGTCCCCCAGCCCCTGCTGCTGAAGGGTGCAGGTCTCCTATGTCTGATCTATCACTCCCATGCAGAATCATAGAATGGTCTGGGTTGGAAGGGAGGTCCATCCAGCCATCCAGCCCAACCCCCCTGCAATGAGCAGGGACATCTTCAACTGGATCAGGTTGCTCAGAGCCCTGTCCAGCCTGGCCTTGAATCTTTCCAGGCATGGGGCATCTCCCACCTCACTGGGAAACTTGTGCCACTGTTTCATCACCCTCATTGTGAAAAATCTCTTCTTTATATCCACTCAAAATCTACTCTCTTTTAGTTTAAATCTGTTACCCCTTGTCCTATCACAAAAGGCCCTGCTAAAACATTTGTCCCCATCTTTCATATAGGCCCCCTTTAAGTACTGGCAGGCTGCTCTAAGGTCTCCCCACAGCCTTCTCTTCTCCAGGCTGAACAGCCCCAACTCTCTCAGTCTTTCCTCCCAGCGGAGGTGCTCCAGCCCTCGGATCATTGCTGGGGCCTCCTCTGGCCCCGCTCCAACAAGTCCAGGTCTGTCCTGTGCTGAGGGCTCCAGAGCTGGACGCAGGACTCTCAAGGGGGTCTCACCAGAGCAGGGCAGAGGGGCAGACCCCCCTTCCTTGCCCTGCTGGCCACGCCTCTCTTGATGCAGCCCAGGATACGGTTGGCCTTCTGGGCTGTGAGCGCACATTGGTGGCTCATGTCCAGCTTTTCATGCCACAGCACCCCCAAGTCCTTCTCGGCAGGGCTGCTCTCAATCCCTTCGTCCCCCAGCCTGTGTTGATACCAGGGGTTGCCCAGATCCAGGTGCAGGACCCTGCACTTGGCTTGTTGAACCTCACAAGGTTCACACGGGCCCACTTCTCGCGTGGAAGTTCCCGATACCCTGCCGCATCACAGATATCATCAGACACCTAAGCCAGCCAGATGGATTGACCCCTAGATTCTTATTATCTGCAGTGTGACCCAGAATGTCTACATTTTGGTGACTTCATCCGGAATAGTGTCCCACCCCTTTGTCCTGTAGAGCGATTGCTCCAGACTACCATACAAGTAGGTTGCTTGGATGATCACAGGGATTTGGATAACGCCCAGTTGTTACAGTATGTACCTGTGAGTACAGACATATCCACAGCCAGGCAAGTCAGCTATCACAATAGTCACCTAAATCTTTTCTATTCAAAAGCTTTAGCATGCTTTTTGCTGCAACTGAACTTTGGAACTGAACTTTTAAATGCACGCTCCACACGTACATGTCAGAACAAATGACCCCTTAAAGCACTGCCATAAACAGTACAGTCAATTTATGACATGATTCACGATCCATAATTAAGAAATGTGCTTCTGTTTCAAAGCTGCAAATCAAAAGGAGATCAAAGGCAGCTGTTTACAAAGGAGAAGAAAGCAAGCAGCAATCTGAACAGAGAAAAGGCAAAACTAAGTTATTCCCACATGTGCCACTCATAGGATTGAGGAACAAAACTGTGCAGCTCTAATTAGAGACAGACGGACAAAGAGATTTTTAACAGTTAGGGAATTAACATGAAAAAAAAGGTACTAAGCTCTTAACACACTTGATCAGCGATGTCTTCCTCAGAGCTGACTTCCAAGTCTTGACAAAAAGCACTTACAGTAGGACGGACAGAAATCCCGACTGCACAGAGCTGGAGGCTCCTCTGAGAACCTTCTCCATCCCATCCCACCCCAGATTAACTCTACATGTTAGAGGGGAGGTAGCAGGCTCCACCCAATGGCTCAGCTATGGAAAGTCAGCCAAAAGAAACAGGCTGCAGAAAGGTAACCCTTTTCGCTCTAGTTCAAGGAAACAGAGCCAGGGGAAGCTTGTGAGCAATGGCTATGAATGAATTTCAGGTGTCTTTCCCAGCTCTTACAGATTCTCCATGTGATTGGGAGAATCACATAAACACACCAAACAGAACAGGAAGGATAATGTTACAGAAATAACAAAACAGAAAGACAGAAATGTCAGCTAAACACTTGCCTAAACAAAATTTGGGAGTAGGATGGGAGGAAGGAAAAACGAACTCCCAAGGGAGACTTCTGAGAGGAGAATGTTTTCCAAGCGCTGCTATAAACAACCCTGACGTGCTGAAATCACTGCCACTGCAGACCATATGGAGTCCTGTTATTCTGGAACAAGTTTCTAACATGTTGTCATGGGAATACTGCAAAGTGCATCCTGGTGAATCCCTTCCAGAAGTGAATCCTGCCCGGATATGATAGACTCACAACCACTCTGTTGCTGAACGCAGACATACATAAGGACAATCCAGATAAATCTACGATCCCTGCCATGTCATATGGGGACTTTTAACAGTCAGTGCCACTGAAAATAGGTATAAGGAATAGCTCTTGAATTACTCAGATCTAAACTACTGAGCCGTAAACAGCAGAGAACTTCTGGGACTCTCCTGTACTCTGCACCTCGGAGTATGCACGCTGCACCAGGATGTGCTACGGGAGTGCCTAAGCCCCCCTCCTCCACCAGACAAATCCACATCCCAACTGTCGGAATCAGTCTCCCTATCCAGTAAAAAAAAAATTTAAAAAATCAGCTCTCCACAGTAATCTTTTATATAATACCAGAACAAAATGTTGAAGGGAAGAGGACAGCTGGCAGAGGCCAGATCAGAAGAAGCAAAACTTGGCAAATCAGACAGCCGTGGTGAGGGACCTACGCATGAAGAAGACAACGTATGATGCAACGGTGAGGGCATTAGTTTCTAGGCCAGCTCCCTGCTTCCACATAGACTTTGCAGCATGAACACCACATTCCCAGAAACACCTGAAAGTCTCAGTGGTTCACTCCCGGGTTCCCTCCATCTTCACAGAAGCTCTGCTGCAGCTTATGCCCTTGGGCGTTTAAGGAAGCAATCTACAGAAACCAGCTGAGCAGGGAGTTGCCCAGAGTCACACAGGGGGAAGATCAGCGTTTAGGGCCCAATAAACCTTGCTAAGTGACTTTAGATAAACTTTGGTAGAGGTGCCCTTCCCCACTCCGGATTCTGGGAGGGCAAACTGTCTCCAAGGTATCTGCCTAACTGTGGTTTTCCACTTGTGATCTCCTGGCTTCGGCAGAGCTGCCTACTCCTCCTTCCTGCCACTGTATCACAGTACATCACCCCATCGTGGTGCCAACAAAACAGTTTGTGGGGCTAAAGCCGTAAACTGGCTCACTGAAATGACTGGAGATAAAAGTACCCTTGCCCCAGAAAGTGAATCCAGTTTCCGGCAAACAGCTGTATCAGCACAGCTGCAAGTGGGGAGCAGAAGCAGGAATTCTTTCAGCTGGCTTCACCACTAACACCGAGCAAATCCCTGAACAGCCAACACTGTAGTGCCTGCAGACATCTTTGGGATGTGTCCAACTTCAGACCTGTTCTAGTTTGTAAAAAAAGAAAAGTATTAATTGGGTCAGAAGGAAGGACTGACTATATCCCAGGAGGAAGCTAAATGATCCGAGCTGGGGTTTCAAATCTCTGCTCCAGTAAACTGCATTGTGCACTCATCTCCAAAAACAACAGATCGAGGGAGATCCGCACCAGAATGTCCACTGTCCTGGTAATCCAGATACTACCCCAATAGGTGAGGTAAGACCCAAACCCCTGTCCCCAGTAAGATCTAAAATCCTACCTTGTATAATCCTGTCAAGTATCTTAACCAGAAGGCAGCTCCATGAGACCCTCCTGTATAGCTGGCTGTCTTCTGATCTACTAAATCAGGTTATATCTACAAGAAAGCTGGAGAAGGGCTTTTTACAAGGTCATGGAGTGATAGAACAAGGGATAATGGCTTTAAACTGAAAGAAGGCAGATTTAGATTAGATAGAAGGAAGAAACTCTTCACTCTGAGGGTGTTGAGGAACTGGAACAGGTTGCCCAGAGAAGCTGTGGCTGCCCCCTCCCTGGCAGTGTTCAAGGCCAGGTTGGATGGGGCTTTGAGCAGCCTGGTCTGGTGGAAGGGGTCCCAGCCCATGGCAGGAGTGTTGGAACAAGATGATCCATAAGGTCCCTTCCAACCCAAACCATTCTATAATTCTACGATAGCCAGGGAAACACTTTTCTGTGCTGCAGGCCTTTGGCTTGCACCCATTAGTTGCTTTTGCCCTATCTGTCTCTGGAAATTACTCATGCAGAGAACCTGTTTACAAGGCTAGGCAGGAACTAACCAACAGTTCCGAGGATGTCAGTGATCCTGAAGCACTGGATTTCGTCAGATAGTACCTAGCTGCCCCTAGCCTGTCACCATTAACCCCTCTGTCCTTCCGTGCTTCACTTGTGAAACACTGATAATAAAGAGCACATCACCATGCCCTGAGGATAAACACGTCAGGAACAGCGAGAGTCTTCTCAGGATAATGAAACCCCAATACATGCAGACAGAAAGTGCTCTGTTAACTTCACATGAGTTCCATAAGATCATACACAAAATACACTCCTGTGACTTCCTGAAGGAATGGTGCTGCTACACCTTTACCTTTTGCTGCCATCTTCATTGACAGGTTGTCCTGTTTTAGAGAGGTTTAGATCATTCGGGATTCCAAAAGTCTCCTTTGTGTTGCCATTATCACCCTTCTGACCGCTCTGCTTCTCCTTCTTCTTCTCCACTAGGTTTTGCAGCCGCCTTTGCTGTTGTTCTTCATAAACCTTAAACTGGCTTTTAAAACATTCGTTCACTTTCACGTCTGACTCCATTGTTTACTAAAAGCACAACAGGAAGAAAATAAAACACAACAGGGAGCAGAGATCAACATCACTTTGAGAAACATCCTCTTCTAGCAGCTGCTTCGCTGTTTTTCCTCACTGACCTCTGCACAGTCTCCCTGCCACCTCCTCCTCTCAGCCACCACGCTCCTCAGCCCTACCGCCTTGCTTCAAGTGCCTTTTTCCACAAACGGCTTTCAAACAATCTTCAGAAATGTTTTCGTGTCTTTCTCACTCCAGCATTCAAAAAGCAATGTTTTTAAATGTTTTCCAACAGATCTGTTTAAATAAACATTTTTACAGAAGAGCAAGTTGGGGTCAAATCCAAGCGAATGTGGCAGCCACTCCACACTGACTCAAGGGA